GAGAGAGAGAGATCTACCTGGATTATTTGGAGGAAATGAGTGAAGATTTGCCTGAGTTCTAAGGAAAACATTGACAAAAAGACAAATTCTGTACTAAGGAGCCACTGGAAGGCTTTAGAGTATGAGGAGCGTTTACAGAAGGCACCATGGTAAAATCGTTTGGGTAAAGAAGAGCATGCCTGTCCCAGGGGTGGGTAGTTTTATATATATATATGCATGTATGTATGTATATGTATATATATATTCTTATATTACATATCGATCCCAGTTCCCTCTTTCTCCCATGCCCCCCTCCCCTCCCATCCCATACTACCACCCCACCCCACAGGGAGGGTGATGTCATCCAGGAGGGATCATCAAAATCTGTCAAGCCATTTGGAGTAAGGATTAGGTCCTCCCTCCTGCCTCTAGGCTAAGGGAGTATCCCTCCATGGGGAATGTGCTCCCAAAGTCCTGGGTGGGTAGTTTTCTATCCCCTGACTAAGCAGGGTATATGTCTCTCCTGCAGTTAGAATAAGGGTCAAGATTGTTTACCCACACAGGACCTCCTCCAGCAGCCAGGTGTGGTGAGTGGAGGCAACAGCTGTAGCAATAACCACAGTACCAGCACAGAGCCTCTAGACCCAGGAGCAGCAGGGGAGAGCAATGTGTGGGTAGGGCCACTCCGCCCGCCCTGGGTAAAGCTGAGCCCCACTGAGTTCATCAGGGGCGGAGAAACACAGGGAGGCCACACAGAAGGGTTTCAGCAAATGAAGGCAGAAGGGCTCAGAGAATGACTGAGGATTGTGGAGAGCTAAAAAGTGAGAGCCTTCTATCCACGCAATTGTACCTAACCTTGATCTATGGAGGAAATGATTGATTCTAATGGGTGGAATCTTGCCATGCTATGTTAGACCTTGCTCAAGTTTTACCTTACTATCTTACTAGTTGTGAACTTCTATGATGACCCAACACTTGCAATGGGCTTTCAGAGTGCTTCGCCTGGATTATCTTTGTAACCCCACTAATCATTATGGGATGGTGGTCCAGGACATTGCATTGTGGTGTCCTGATCATCGTCTGGGAAAAGGCTTTATCTTGTAGATGACAGGATGCTAAACTCTGAGTGTTTGCAGATTTGGTGCCAGCTAACAGATTACTTCTTAACTCTGTCTCAAAGAGAGCTGCAGGGAGGTGTAGCCTGACTTATTCAGGGAATGGGATCTGGCCTTTTAGAGTGAACACTGTCTTTAAGGGGTAGGCCTGTGTTCTCACAGAGTTTAAGGTGCAGTAACACTGTATTTTAAATACCCTAGGATCAATTTCTCCTCCCTTTCTTCCTTCCCTTTTTTTCTTTCCCTTGGGTCTTCAGTCATGCTAGGCCAGTCTCCTACCACTAAACCATGTCCCCAGAGATACATAAATAAGACATAAAATTCAGAGCCAAGGATTAAACCCAGGCCTTAGATGTATTCTGTAGAAGGTCTCTATGCCTGGTGCTCTTATTGCTGACATAGAACGTCATGTGGTTCTCTTTTAAAGGATTCTTGTTTATGTATGTGTGTCTATGTGCCACATGTGTGTGGGCATTCATGGGGACCAGAAGAGGGTGTTGGAGCCCTGGAGCTGGAGTTACAGGCATTTTAAGTTGCCTGACGTATCTGCGCCAGCGGTTCTTCTAGACATGGAGAAGCCAGCTATATGATTAACTCAGCAGACACTGGTTGTTGAGGGCTGGGCTGGAAGGGTGTGGCTGCTTGCCTCAGCAGCCATGCACTCTCCTTGGATGTTCCAGAGCAATCTGAAAACTTGTGTTCCATCGAGCTCTGCCAGTGAGCTATACTTAGCCATGTGGGTGTGGCCAGGAGTGGGTGCTGAGTATAGATAGTAACAAGTGGGCTATTTCAAGCATCTAGAGAACCCCCTAGAATATTCCAGGCCAAAATGATATTTATAGAATCCACTGGGCTTTTGGAAGCAAAAGACATAACCTTAGTGCCTCTTTGGCTTTCTGAAGAGGCTTCTTTCAACAGGCTGTGGGGAGAAGGACTGGGTCACCCAAAGGCCTGCTGCTGTCCCTCACACACCTGTTTCCAGGAAGCCAGGGATGGTCTTTGCTTCCAACCCTGACTGGAAGAACAGTGGAGGCCCTCAGGCCCCAGATGTTCTCTCTGCAGGTGCCTGTCCTGTGAGAATCCCCCAGCCTCCTGGGAGAGCAGCAAGATTATAGATGTGATAGGTTATATATTTATCTTGTCCATCACTGAGCTTTTAACCCTCTGCTTGCAATAGACACAATTGGGCCTTTACTAAACCACCTGTTTTCCAACATTCCTGGGCCCATGTCTCCTGCTTTGGAGAGGGGTTCTAACAGCATGCCTGGAAGTTTTCTCAAAAGACCCTCCTGGGGGGGGTGACTTTGAAGAGTAACATGGTAGAAAGGTACAGTGTAGTAAACAACCATAATATGCTATGGCCAAGCATATTATGGGACACCCCCTTCCTGACCCTCATTCTGCAGGTCACGGTGGGCCCAGAAATCAAGTGAGAAGTAAATAGCCCCAGTTCCTTTGCTCTGCTGTGTGAAATGAGGAGGGACAGTGAAGGAGGAAGCCACCAAGTGCCAGGCTGATTGGGCTGGCACAGGTGTCTGCAGGCGAGGCCTCAGCCGCTGTGACCTGACTTCAGTCTGGCCTGCAGAGTGGAAAGTGTCCTCCATTCATTCTGTATCAGCTCCCTGGCAGGTGCCCTCCTCATGCTCCTGCCAACCCCCACCCTCTGATACCTCAGCCTTCCACCAGCCCAGATATAAATACAAGAGCATTTTCCATGGGCTGGAACCAAAGGGGGAAAACATTCCGCTTTATTTTAGGCTGTGAGATTCCCTGCTTCATACCCAACAGGTGTGACAGCCCCATTTAGACATGAGGAACCAGAAATAGAACACAATCTACAATATAACTTCCTTTGGGCATCTGGATGCTATTTTAAAAGAAGGTTCCTGTGAGGAATCCAGGCTCATGTTGGTTGGGGTTCTGAGGACCCCTCTTCCTGGGGTATCTTGACTTGCTTCCAGAAGGGCCAGACATTTGGGGACAAAAGTCCTTCCTTTGCTTTGACATAGAGATGAAGAGGAGGTGGGGGTGGAGGGGGTTTCCTACCCAATCTTTGAAGCTAGTTCATGGAATTGACTATCCCATGATCTTGTGTAGATTTTGAGAAGGGATCATTTAGACCCCTTTGCCTTGCTCTAAGAGAGGACAAGTCACAGGGAGGGTGACTTGTCGAAACATGTTCTCAGACGTTTGGGCTGAACAGCAGTCCTCCACCCCAAATCCAAATCCATGTTGAAATCCTAACCCCTAGAACCTTAGAAGTGGATCTTTGCAGATGTTAAGATGAGGTCACCACGGAGAGACCCACAGGACAGGGCAGTGTGATGGCTGAGGCAGAAATGGAGGAACTCCTACAAGCCAAGGTCCACCTCCTGCCTTGAAGGTCACTTTGAGCTGGAACTTCTGGCCTCCAGAACTTTTGGTGGATGCATTTCCATTCAGACAGTACCTTCATGTCCAGTTCCTACCCACTCCCCTGGGAGGCGGTGGTCTTGGTCTGAAAACATGAGTGTGTCTGTCTCAAAAGTGTGTCCCTCCACGAACTGGCATAGGTCTGGTGCAGTCAGTCTGTGACTAGCTCTCTCACAGGAGTCAGAGTGCGGTATTTATGCATTTGCGATCACTCCTGGTCTAGAAGCCCAACCTCAAGGTTAAATTTGTAAGCCAGGAATGGTGCTGATGCCTGTAATCCCAGCACTTGGGAGGCTGAGGCAGGAAGAGTGTGTGGGCTATAGACTGAGACTGTTTGAGACTTTCTCCAAATAGGTCGTTTCCTCTGGGAGATCCCTAAGCCCTCTTAGAGAGCTATCCTCACACCAGCAAACCACAGTCAGATGTTCACTACCAAGTATGGCCTGAAGCAGCTGCAAAACCAGAGGCTAAGGTGCCTGCATGACCCATGGGCTTTCTAGAAGGCTTTTGGAAGCTCAGGAGAGGGTGGACAAAGGATGCTGATTCATGTCCCTTGTCCTGGGCCAGAAGTAGAGTGACCTCAGGCTTTTACCTAAAAGGTGTCAAGAATTCTAAACAGGTGGTGGTGGTATACACCTTTAATCCCAGTACTTGGGAGGCAGATGCAGGTGAATCTATGTGAGCCTGGTCTACAGAGCTAGTTCCAGGATAGGCTCCAAAACAATACAGAGAAACCCTATGTCAAAAAAAAAAAAAAAAAAAAAAAGCTCATAAGAATTCTCTTTATAGACTCTGAGTCTCTTTTCTCTGTCCAAATGCCAACTAGAGTCAGTCATATCCACTGGAAGAAGCAAGTCCTGTCCTGTCCTGTGCTCGGGATGCTACTCAGTTGCACGTGGCCACTCTACTGTTCTCAGTCTTGGTCCTGTGCAAGCATTCTCCATGGGCCTTACTCCTGGTGTTAGGTGTACCCTCATCTTCATTTCTCCAGGTCAAGCCACCTCATGCCGCTTCTTTCTCAGGTCTCATTTCTTCCAGCGAAGGCCCCGGGCTCATCTGCTCACAGCGCTCTGAAATGCTCGGGAAAGATGCCCTCACTCAATCTCTTGCCTGCTTTATGCCCCAAAGGGCCCAGGTTATCCAGAATCCCATTGCCCCTGGAGAAGTCTGCCTCCTCCATAGATCCAAGGGATTGGTAAAGGCTCAAGACTTCAAGGCTCAAGACAGGAGGCCTTTGCCACCCCCACAGCTGCTCTCCTGAGGTGTTAGGAGTCACTGAGGCCAGCTCTAAGCAGGACAATGGAGATGAGGCATAGACAAGGCAGGATCTGGCTTTAGCCCAATCCTCCCTAACTCTGCCTCATCTTAGGGGGAGCATCCAAGGTGTACGTGTGTTCATGTGTGCGCACGCATATACACATAGGGGCAGAGGAAAATGTTATCTCCAACCCCAAGGCAAAGGCAAGTGAGGCTGGCTGAGAGGTAGCTCCCAAGGTTATTCACACATTGTGCTCTCCTTAAGTAAAAATGGTCATTTCAAGTTACACACAAAGGAACCCAGGTGGCCAGGCTCATCGGTGTCGTGGTGGGGTTTGTTCAGTATTAGTCACTTCCCGGTAGTTTCTCTTTTTTGGAATAGGTCCAGCAGACAGGCCAAGCTGAAAATGGTTGGTTCTTGTTTTGGTGAGTCTTGTGGTGAGTCTACTGAATGTAGGCCTTGGAGAAAGATGCCTAAAGGCTCCACAGGGCTTCTTGCTTCTGGCTGGACACAGGCAGCAGTGAGCTAGGCCCCTGCCTCCTCTGATTGTCCTGGATGATACAGAATCACTGAGAATATTGTCAGGCTTGGCCCCTCCACTCTGCTGTGTGCCTCTAGGGGCCAGGACAGCAGCCAGCTTCCTCATGCCGAGCCAAGAGAGACATTCGGGAGAAGGCCTTGGAGCAGACAGTACAGCGGTACTTCTTGGTACCAGCATGAGTCTGCAGATGAGCCCGAAGGTTGGAGCGGTCAGCGAAGGCCCTGCTGCAGTGAGGACAAGTATAGGGCTTCTCACCTGTGGGAGGAAGATGAGAAGTCAGGTGAGGGACCACAGCTAGGACACATCCCACAGACTGTGGCCAAAGGTGAAATGTCCCTGTCTATCAATGAGTAACTTGCCCCTGGCTCATCACAGCTCTAGCACCCAAGGTCAGAGCCCTTTGGACAGTCAGAATGTCACTCTGGGCAGGATCACAGTATCAGAGACTTTCTGAGGCGAAGGTGGTGACCAGGAGAAGTACTGGGAGCCTCTGGCAGCCCTTTCTGGCCACTGACCAGCATAATATTGAGCTACTGTGAGGGCAGAGCTGGATGGAATACACTATACTCCTGGACTGGACACGTGCACCATCTCCAATCAGGGTCACTAAGGATTGGAACAAAATCTTTCTGCTTGGACCTTGGCTTCCAGGATGACCCTCCCCAGCAGAAGGCAGGGGGTGGGGTGAGGTCACTGAGTGTTGTCTGTCTGGTTCTGCAGCCCACGTGGGGCACTTGTATCCTATCTGGTTACAGTTCTCCAAACCCACAGTCTGCCCTTCCTGTTGGGGTCTCCGCAGTGGCTACGCTTCCTCGCCTTCATGCACTTTGCTGGCCCTGAAGCCACCAAAGGTGGGTAGCTAGGCCCCACTGGAGCCCTGCAGTCCTCAGGATCGTCTTTCAAGAGAGAGCTGCTTCCTGACAGCTATTCTACTCAGAAACGAGGCCTTTGCAAAGATGACAGAGTTAAGCTGAGGCCCTTTGTGTGGAGCCTAGTTTCATGACTTATGGGGCTCTCCCTCCCCTTACAGTGGAGATACAGACACATGGGTAGATGTTAGAAGGACAGAGGTTGACACAGATGTGGCCAATTGCCAGTGAGTAAGGGTGGCTTCTGGGAGACAAGAGAGGTAAGAAGCGTCATTCCTGCAGTCTTCTGGGAGAATGTGGCCTGGCCATGCCTGGATTTCAGGTTTCTGGCCTCAGGACCTTGAGGGGACATGTCTAGGGTGCTCTTCATCTGTGGGGCTGTCCATCAGCAGTTTCAGGAGAGGCCAGGACCCTGCCAATGTGGAGACCAGCCTCTCTTTTCTTCTGCCCATGGTTCAGTCCCTCCCCCAATCTGGATCCTTTTCTGGGATTGCAGCCTTGCCCATCCTACCTGTATGGGTGCGGATGTGGCCCTGGAGCAGCCAGGGCCTGGAGAAGGCCTTGCCGCATACCTTGCAGATGCAGGGCAGCGTGTGGGTGCGGATGTGCATCTTGAGGGCACCCAGGCTGGCATACTCCTTGTCACAGTACCTGCAGGTGAAGGTGGGCCCAGCCGGCAGGTGGCAGTGCAGCTGTTGGTGCCTGGCCAGGCCGGCCAGTGTTTGATAGGGCCTGTGGCAGTGGATGCACTCAAAACTACCTGGGACTCCAGATGTTCCCTCGGCCCTTAGTTGTTTATCTAGAACTCCATCTGGGCCCAGAATTGGGGGCCACCGTGTGGGCAGCACCAACAGCGAGGGCAGATTGAAGCTGTCTTTGAGGGGAACACTGGGGGCCTGGCCAGCCCGAGGGCCCACGCAGCTGGTTTCCTGGGGTTCTGGCCCAGACGCTCCCAGAGCTTCTCCATGATGTGGCAGAAGAGGCAGAGAGATGCAGGCAATGGCAGAGGTGCTGTCCCAGGGCTGTAGAGGGTCACTGGGAGAGGAAGGGGCCTCCTCATCTGGCAGGTGGTGGGACCTCACCAGCTCCTCACAAGCAGAGCAGGAGCCATCCGCCTCTAGAGGGGCAAAAGGGAGAGAGAACACATAGTAAGGAATTAGACCACAATGCTTGGGCTTCTAAACTTCTGCTCATTTATCTAACAGCAGCCAGCAGGAAGTCAGAACTACAAATGCCTACTATGAACCCATCATACCTATAGCAGCCAGGTTTTCTCATATTCACCTACTGTTCTGGTTCATACAAGGTGGTGATGATGGGTGGCAAAAGCTGAGGAATGCATGAACTACACAAGTCCAGACACTAGAAAGTGGACTGAATTTCCTTGTCTAAAATGAGGAAAGAGAAATATCTTCCAGGACCTCCAGTGCTTAGGAGCATAAATAGTTGCATGGGGGGTAAACATCTGCTAACCTAGCACTTAGAAGACTAAGTCAGGAGGATTTCAAGTCTGAACCAGCCTGGGCTACATAAGACACCCCAAGAATCCGCTCCTTCCAGGAGTTCTTGCTCTAAGTCTGTGTCTGGGAAGCGTGTCTAAGCCCCAGTCCTACGTTTGAGGAGTAGGCAGTTGGGGTTAGCTCCCTTGGGCTCCCACACAGAAGTATGAGCTCAGAACAAAAGGAACCTGGTAAAAACAGACACCCACACCCACAGCAATCAGCCTCCAGTCACCACAGGGTCACCCACCACAGTGGCGTCTCCTTGAGTGTATCATGATGTGCTGTGCACAGCCACATCCCTGGCCACTGGACAGCATGCACTTGCTACTTGTCAACATGCACAGACACGTCCAGTCAGCCAGGCAAGTGGCTAGAGCTGGTGGCAGCTGCTTAACTAGGAAGCATCAGATCTAGTCCTGGCTTTGTTTTTCGGTTGTGGGTCCTGTATTTTTGGTCAGAATTTCATGTGTTTAATCAAATAATGCCAGTATCCCTCCCCTCAGACAAAGAGATCAGGCTGCAAATAAGAGGCAAATTTTGGATTCCCCAAAGAGAAGTATCAGTCAGCCCTCCGTCCACCTCTCCCACATGTGCCAGACAAATCTCTAGCCTCGTTTCTACCTTGATGACAAGGTGTTGGGTAGAAATGGCAGCCCATGGGTTGGGAGGGAATATTCACAAATGAAATGCTTAATTAGTATATGGGGGCTGGAGAGATGGCTCAGTGGTTAAGAGCACTGGCTGCTCTTCCAGAGGACCTGGGTACAATTCCCAGCATCTATGTGGGAGTTCACAACTGTCTGTAACTCAGTTCCAAGGGATCTAATACAGGCAAACCAATGTACATGAAATTAAAAAAAAAAAAAACTAGTATATGTACAAAGAAAGTATATGTACAGCTTCACAATGAAAAGTCTAATACCACAGTTTAAAAAGCAGGCACAAAAGGGTACGAACATAGCTCAGGCAGTGTGCCTAGCACACAAGAAGTCCTGGGTCCCTTCTCCAAACTGGGTGTGACATTGTACTCTTGTAATCCCAATTAGGGAGGTGGAGGCAGGATGATCAGAAGATGAAAGTCATCCTCAGCTACACAGCTACACAGAGCATGGGATAATGGGACATCCTCCCTTAAAAATAGCGGGAAGGTATAGGAATATCTATTTCTCCAAAGACAATACAAAGTGAGGCTGACAAGATGGCTCAGCAAATAAACATGCTTTCAGCCAACCCTGAAAACCTGAGTTTTATCCCAACCCATACGATGACGGGAAAGCTGGCTCTTGCACGTTATTCTCTGACCTCCATGCACATGCACATGCTCCATGTCCACACTCACCCACAATATAGTTTACTTAATTTAAAAAAGACTAACGTCTAAAAAGGATATATAAGTGGGCAATAAGCAAACAAGAAAATACCCAATATCATTAGACAGCAGAAAAATGCAAATAAAACTACATTTTGATGACTAGAACAAACAAACAAACAAACAAAAAAAAAAAAGACACCAACAAGTGTTGGTGAGGATGTGGAGAACTAGAAAACTAAATCCATGTACTCTCTCCCTACCTGAGCTCTCCACACATTTCCCCCTAACTATGTAGCTAGTAGCATACACAATCCACAATACTCTGGATTGGGGAAAGAGAGAGCAGGATAGCTAAGAGACTATCAGAGAGTCCTGGACAATAGAATGGGGTCATCATCCTGGGATGTTTCATGAGGTCCTGTCTGCAAGCAAATCTGTCCTGCTGAGACCCAGGCACTCCACAGGCAGAGGACAAGGGACCTATGGGTGGGGGGAGGGGATGGGTCCTGGGAGATGAGGTCCTCAGTGAACTCTGGCTCAAGGTATCTCTGAGGCCCCTAGAAGACATTTATTTAAGAGAAGGGAGGGGGCCCAGACCTCACCACCTCAGGTCCTATTCTAGGGTGACACCCTGATAGGAAAAGAGTCACTGGGGCCATGGGGTCCTGGGAAAGCCAAGAAGGAATTCTAAGGGGCATCAAGGCTGTTCTGAACAATGCCCTAGCCCCCAACAGAGCCCTGCAGGGCACCTGATTTGCTCATTTAAGTGGTAAGCTGGGATGTGCTGTAGGAGTGCACCCTAAGGTTTTAAACTTTCAAAACTATGGCTTGGGGCTAGAGGTGCAGTCCAGTGGAGCAGTGCTTGACTAGTCTTGTATGAGACACTGATTGCCTCCTCAGTACAGGAAAAACAGTACATGCACTGTAAATACAACTTTCTATCTCCTCTGTAAGGAGAACCACCACCCAACTAAAAGAAAACTTTTATCGCACTCTAGTAGTTTCTTTTTTGTTACAAAATTACTGGTGGTGACTCAGGGTCCTAGATAGCACCCTCTAGTGGCAGCACGGGTGATGGAGCCTGATTCAAGGAACTCCCCTCTCCCCCCAACTCCGGTTCTGGGTAAGATTCACTTATGTCAGGGGTGCCAGCCTGAGCCCTGAGATCCCAAGGTACCCCAGGCACTGGGCAAGTCCCCAGTGGGTCTTTCCAAGAAACTGCCCACCTGGATAGGAATTGCTCTGACCTACGGCAACAGGCTGGTTCTGAGGACTAAGGGTTCTAGTCCCAGATGCTTCAGATCTCAAGCCCTTGAGACTAGCAGCAATGTTGGACACCTGAGCCTATGTGTGGAGGGTGGCTCTGCCTTGGTCACTGCACCAGGAGAGAGCAAGGGGGTTCTGGGAGGAGGGAAGGCCATCGGAGGTTCTGCTTGCGCTATCGGTGAGCTCACCACCCCCAGGTAGGACGCTCTGGAGCAGTGCTGTCTTTTCTCACCAGCCACCCTCTGGGGGGGTAGGACAAATTTCCTGGCTTGTGGTCAGTGAGGCCTTCTCTGGGTGGGTGTATACAGCGCCTGGGACATATTTTAAGTTTGGACCCTTCCAGGTCTACAGAGAGAGGCCTTCAGGGTCTCCTTAGCGGGAGCTGTAGTGTAGGCAGTACACAGGGAGAGTTCCAGGGAGACCCGAGCCTCAGGAAACTTCCAAGTGAGAAGAGCCCCAAGGTTCAAGTCTTCCGAAACAGCGAATTGCCCTAAACACATCCCTCCTGGAGTCCCAGTCTTAGCCCAGAAGCGAACCTCGCTCCCTGTTGTGCTGAAAAACTTTACCCCTTCTCCTCTCACCTGGGAGAGGTGTGACCCAGCTCCCAAGGACTTCCCAGTTGCCTCCTGTCCCGCAGCACTGAGAGCTGGGGACAGAGATCCCGCCAGCCCCTACCTCTCTGTGTCTCCAGTTGCCCGTAGTTGGGGACCCTGTGACTGGAGTGCGTTTTCACCAGGAAGGACCGCGGCATGGTCTCCTCCCTAGAGGTGGCAGGCTCTCGAGCCTGCAGCTGGACAGGGGCTGGAGGGGTGGTAGCGTCCGCGCAGTGCCGGCGGGCCTCGCAGCCGGCAGGTGCGATAAGGGTCAGGTTCATTAGCATAGCGCACCACCTCAACCAACCAGAGCGGAGCACGGCGGGGCGGGACCGAGAAGCCACGCCCGAGACAGGTGCGCGGGCGGGGAACCCGCCGCGTGGTCGGCAGTGTCTGCCCCACGGGACTTGGCTGGTCCGGGCCGCGGTCACGCACCGACCCCGCGAGGGCTGTCCATCGACCTGCCATGGATGAAAGAGCAGAGTTCAGGGTTGGGTGACAGCGACCAGCCAACTATTGGGACAAGCCTTGTCCCTATCCTTTGCAGCATCCTTTAATCCATGCCCGGACAACTGGGACAGCCCTGTCTGATTGTTAAGGTTCTGTATGAGGATGCTAACGGCTTTAGGGGTCCGGTGGGACAGTCTGTGGGGAAGTGTTATGTCCACACAGCTACACAGGGGTGTGCCTGTGGCTGAGGAGCAGGGCTGTCTGGCCAGAAATGAGCTTTACCCTACACCACGCCATTCCCTGGCATCTGTGGGCTGATGGGGGAAGAGGAGGTGTGTCTGCAGAGTAGGAGACCGTGAGGAAAGAGGGCTGAGTCACCCTGGCTTTCAGGACACAGTAGGTGGAGGGAGTCATTCCATTCTAAGCCCCTTGCTGTGGGAAGAAGCCTGCCCAGTGGGAGAGAGGCTTGCCTCAGCCAGCACAAACCTCTTCAGGAAGACATGCTGGTTAGATACCTGGCCTTACCTATTGCCTAGTGCTGTGCTCCTTTAGCAGAAATCCAGGTTTGGGAACCAACTCACAGGCTTCAGCATGCTCTGTAGGTCCCCATACAGCTTCCAGCAACCCCAAGAAGCATGTGTGCAACAGGCCACAGGGAAACTAGAAGCCCTTATCACAGTGACAACTAACTCCAGATGCTACCTCACTGACTGGGGGCTCCCACTAACATGCCCACAAGAGAAATCATGGTTTGTCCATGCCTTGGTCTCTGATGTATTGACTGAGCTGATAGATGGTGTCATGGCTTGAACTATGTTAATTCGATGGGATACAACTGTGTGATTTGATTCAAATTCTGTGTTTGCAGGTGCTGATTTATGAGGACGTCATCAAGATGGGTTCTAACACAACGATTAATGTCCTAACAGAGAAGGCAATTAGACTTGAATGTGCATAGGGTAGGGAGCTGCCTGTTGCTAGGACAGAGGTTGTACAGGCTCAGCAGGAGAGTCAAGATAGAGGCCTAAGACCTGAGTTGTCAGCAACGGGGGAGTCCTTGTCACCTTCCCTCACAGCTCTGACACTTCCATGAGGGACTTCTGGCCTCCAAACACACTTCTGGTGTTCTCACGGAGAACCACTCTGTGGTACTCCATTCCAGCATCCCATGACACTTGCATAGATGGCATCCTGAATAAGTAGGAGCAGCAGGCTGGGTCTGTCCTACATAAACATGGTTGATTTGTGGATGAGCGCATTGCAATCCTCAACTCCACAGTGAATTGATGAGTTTGTGGGGGACACAGGGCTGTCACTGCTCCCTGCTCTGTGCCTCATCCTCCCAGGTACAACTCCCCCGTGGTCTCCCAGGGTTTCTGGAGTTCAGAACCGAACTGATTACACGAGGGAGGTGTGGTCTGCAAACAGCCTCACTAGCCCATCTTCTCCCTGCTCTTCACTGAGGGTTGGGAGTTGGCTCAATCTTCCCACTTCCTACCAAAGGATCCCAGTTGGAGACATTCTTTGGCCTTTGTAGAGAGTCCTTGAACCACACTAGGTCTTGACACCTACCAAGTGTGGTTGAAGCCTTTTTCTCCAGCATTTTTCAAAGTTCGGAAAGAGGCCAGAGAGGGCTGACATCTTGCAGGAGAAGGCCCAAGAGGAGGCAACTCCATGACAGACTTTGTGCTACCCAGGTGTTTCATATACAGGGAGTCTTTCTCAACCCGCTTCTGGTATGACAGCCTCAGCTGAGGGTCTGGGCCCTCTGCAATGCCTTGGTTTCCAGGTGAGCTGAGTAGGAAGCAGGGCAACTCTATTCTGTCCTCTTCCGGACGAGCTTGGGCAGGGTCTCCAAAATCTTTTCATCCAATGGTAACAGTAGTTTCTGACTGTTTCTTTAAGGCCTCATGAGCTCAAACCAGGGTGTTCCTACACTAAATAAGTGAGCGCCAAGCACATCATACAAGTGTATGGGAAGTCAAGACTCCTGCAACCAGGCAGGCTGAGCACTGGTTGTTTGGTTAAGAAGTGAGGTTCTGGGACATACAGTGCAAGCCTTGAAATTCATACAGCGCTGTGTTTGTCCTGGTGCTATGGGGGAGCACACAGATCCCCTAAGCCCCAGATGTGGAGATCACTGACAGTTCCTCAGAGGCCTGAGGCTGAGGATCCCCATGCTCTGATTTTTGCCTCTAGTTGGCCAAATGGCCCTTTCCTAAAGGGAAGGTCCAGGAACCTGTGATCAGGGTGCTTTCTAGGAAGCAGAGTGCTAGCTTCTGGTGCTGTTGCTTAATGTGAAACTAAGGGCATGTTGCTACCTGCCCAGGCTTCTGATGCCTTAGATGCTGCAGGGCACAGCAGCATGGGATGGGGGAGAAAGGCTGAGTGTGTGTGTGTGTGGGGGGGAGGAGTGACAGGGGAGACCCAGGTGGCTTCCTACTATTCCTAGAACAGTCCAATGTGAGGAAAGACCCTAGACTGATGAACTTCCAGCCTAGAGGTGAGCTTGCAGACATTGTACTCATTAGCTTTGCTCATAGTCTGGGAAAACTATTCCGTCCCTCCCTTTGGCAGACTATATGGCAATATGTTTGTGTGTGATACTCTCAGGAAGGGTTGTGGCCCCTCTGTTCTAATAGGTACCCCACTAGTATTGCAGATTCTAACTACTTGTCTCCAAAGTTTTTTGTTTTTTTTGTTTTTTTTTTTTCCTTTCAGAAAATACAAGGGAATGGTTGGCTGAAATCTAAGACTGCTTCACCTGGTATAGATCTACTGACATCTGCCTTGTCTGGGTTTCCTACCTCCTTGGGGTTTACTCTGATGTCTCTCCAGAGAGACCTAAATGTGGAGTCACCTGAAGGTGCCTAGGCCAATGGAGGAACAAGTCTGGGGTAGTGTCTTCAGGTGGATGTTGCATCATGGCTTTGCTAGGGAGGTAACTACCCTCAAAACCCAGACACAGAGCTGAGAAGGGTGTAGGCCCTCTGGGCACAGGAGGCGTCTGTCACATCATATCCTACAGCTTTGAAGGGGTAGCCTCAGGGCTTCCATGGACCAAATCAAATAAAGGAATCAGGAGTTCTATAAGTCCGGAAAGACAGGGTATGGGCTGAATTTCACCACGGAGTGGAATGTTCTAGCAATAGTGGACACATTTGGGGAGGTGGTGCAAATGGTGAGATTAACACCTACTTTTTTTGTTGTTTCCTTTCACTCAGGGACTGCTCTGCCTGTGGTAGGTTAGGCTTTTGTTGTTTTTTGGAGACAGGGTTTCTCTGTGTAATACCTCTGGCTGTCCAGGAACTCAGTTTGTAGACCAGGCTTGCCTAAAACTCAGAGATCTTCTTGACTCTGCTTCCTAAGTGCTGGGATTAAAGGCGTGTACCGCCATACCTTGCTAACCTGTGATAGGTTTAATTGTCGTCTATCTGAAGGAGTGGGTACCATGTACTCAAAAAGTACCTAGTCATATGGGGCACAGGAAAGGGGTCCCTTCCTGCCCCTTGCTTCTGCTCCTAGCAACAGCAGGGGTAGAAGAGTGTGGCTCTTCTCCCTCAAGCCTCTTGAGGGTTAAAACCAGATACCACAGTGTACAAGGGGCTAATGAGCCCACACTTGATCCAGTGAGCCCCAAGATCTACCATCTGTGCTGTCCAGGAAGCAGAACACGGCCTAGGAGATCAGGCTGCTCTGTACCCCTGACCAAGAGGTAACATGTAACCACCAGCCACTCCCTTGAGTTCCCCAACCCCCACAGGTGTGCAGGCTCTGCAGTTTTGAGGAGCCTAAGAGACTGGGCTTGCACAGTGACCTCCACAGGGGCAGCACCACAAAAATCAGGAAGCATCTCAAGTGCAAGGTGGCTGCTGAGGTCACAGCCTGCGGCTGCCTCCAGCGTTTCCTGGGCACCCCGAGATCATGCCCTCTGATGGCTGCCTGTGTCACTGTGGTCAGTCATAGCACAGGCCTGGGCCTGTGAGAACACCACTTCATCTCCTGTTGGACAATGAGTGCCTGCCCAAGAAGTAGTAGGCTTAGAGGCAGTCAGGGATGAGCACAGACCAGCTTTGCTCTGAGGGCTCTCAGATGTAATTGACAGCTCAGAGAGGGCCCATTTCTGGAAATTAATGGGGAGGTCAGCCTTGCTACAGTACTACTCACCCCAGAACCTGACACTGCCTTCTGCAAGGGCTTTCCAGCCATGGGAACCTCCCAGATGGAAATCTGAAGATGACTGCTTCTTATAGGGTATATGTTTGTCCATAACCAGTCCCTCTCAATTACAGCCTCTGGGTGGGAGGCTTTGACTTGCCTGCCCATGTTCACTTAAGTGTGAACTGTTAAACAGAGACCTGCCACTGGGTTCCACCTCAGAACAAAGTAAGGCAAGCAGCAGTCTGTGATGGACCTGGCTGCCAGGTGACTCCTCAGCTTTTATTTATTATAGTCCTTACTGACCTCCTGGGACTTGCCATGCAACACGGGCTGGCCTTGAACTCATAGAAATCCTGCCTCAGTCTCTTGAGTGCTGGCTACTCCCTGCATGAGTCACCATGCCCAGCACTCCTGAGCTATTAGGAACCTGAGCTAGATGACAGCAGTGCACCTGTGGCCCCTGGACCAGTCATAATAGTTGGCCTACCTCATAAGATCCAGGGTCCAGCTTCAGTATAGTAAGAAACGGGAGCCAAAGACTATGAGAGAAGGCACTGGTGCTAATGTCCCCATCCAGAGGCCGGGGAAAAGGTGACCGAGGGCACATGGTG